TTTTATTAATTTCATTAACTAATTATTAATTGACTGTTAATTGACAAAATATACTTTCAACTAATAGAGTTAATAAGCATTATAAAATGAGGATTATTTTTTTCAATTTTAATAAGTGAGAGATTAAAACCTATAAATCTAGTAAGGTAAGGGGTTAAAAGTATCATAATATAAGATAAATGATTAAAACTTTCAAACTTGATAAGGTGGGGCTCAAAGAATGTTTTTGCCTAGGATATATAAGTTAACTATTGTACCATAATTTGGTAAAAAATTAAAAAAAAGGGCAAATTTAATTAATAGCTAATGAAAGTATAAAATAAAAAATATATGTTAAATATTTAGTAAAAAATGTAAATTTAAAGTTAATTATAAATTATATCATAATTTATCACATAAACTCATATCTTTTCTTTTATTAATTCAAAAAATATAGAATTCTGTGTTTTAACATCTATCTTAACAATAGATCTTTAATTTATTTTGAAATGTTTTTTATTATAATTATTAATTATTTTTCGCTTTAGTCTTTAAATTATTGATTATTTGACCTTTAATTTTCTTAATTATAATTTTTAATTGATTATATTGTTTGATTTCTAATTTATTGGAGAAAAAAACTTTAATTTTTTAATTAGCTCTTGCCAAGAGTGAAGAAGAATCATTGTTTATTTCAAGTTGCCATGAGTTTATGTTTGTCATCTTTTTAACTTGTTTTATACGTATTTTATGGTTATTTGTTAACTTTGTTGTTAACAAATGTTTTAGCCTTTAATTTAAGTTCTATGTTTATGACTCTTATATTAATCCCTACAATGCAAATCTAGATTATCGTATACTTAATGTTTTTTGTTTTATTGTCTTTCGGTTTTACAATATTTTTTTTTTTTTTGCATAAATTACTTGATTTCTAACAAGGCTTTAGCCTTTAGCCTTAATGATTTGTTTTAATGAACTTATGAAGTACTTCTTTTTCGGTTTATGATTTTTTTTTATAATTTGAATTTTAGGATTTTGGTATTTTTAGTCCGTGTTCATGTTTTAACATTGTTGTATTTTTATTTTTTTTATTATTTTTAGAATATATTTTATTTATAATTTATAGATTGTCTTAA